GTCAAACTTGCAGATCATTTGACCACATTTAAAGTTGTTTTGTTCTAGATCTGGCCAAATGATCTGCAAATTTGATCTGAATTATCAATTCACCGATATGCAGAAAAAAACGCAAAACAATAAAAACTGACGTTTAAACTAACCTTGAAGCATTAATTAAAAATGATGGGAGCCCAACTTTACACATAATAAGTAGCTGTTTTATATATATAAACGCGAAACCTAATGAGTAAAAGTCTCTAGGGACTGAGGTTGTGTAGGCTGTGCAGTAGTTTCAAAAAAACCTCGATTTTCCCAATTAAACCAAGTGCCAAGCATTACCTAATTTCTGAGTTACAGCAATATGGGTGGGAACGGGAGAGATTATAGAGCCAGCCCTCTTATGAAGCAAACGATAACAAAGGGAGATATAACCTCTAAATATACTGATCTGCAAAAATACTTCATAATAGTGTAACCTAAATGCATTCATGGTTATTGTATTTTTTAAAAACCGGTTATGATCAAAAGATTATCATATTTGAACATTAAATTTAAACAATTAAATCCCGGTAACGAAGTTGCGTGTGAAAAATCAAATCTGCACCCACACCCTTACACAATGCGATATAAGGCTACACAAAGTTGATTTTTCGTTTGCATCTGAAAATTGGGTTGGTCGGTTTAGAATTTTTTTTTTTCAATAAAAAAAAAAATTTGAAATAATGGGTCGTCGGGTAATGTAAAACGAAAAATCAACTTTGCGTGGCCTAATATTCAATCAATTGCAAGATTTTGTGGAGTAACATCATTAAATTGCCATATAACCATATACTTCGTGATATTTATCACTCCGTTCCTGGTGTATGTCTTTATCATCAGTCATGGTATTTGTAATCGCATCTCTGCAATTAATTTTTTATGATCTTAGATTTTGCACGTACGTATAAAGCGTGATGAAATGATATGTAAAATTAAATGATGCGTGACAAATAGGGTCACGCAGACCAATCAGATCAATTATATTGCTGTATAACCATACACTTCGTGATTTGCATCACTCCGTTCCTGGTACGTATTCGTGATTTGTATCACCGTTCCTGGTGATTTGCATCATTCCGTTCCTGGTTTATTTCGTGATTTGCATCACTCCGTTCCTGGTATTCGTGGTTTGCATCACTTCCTTCCTGGTACATTTTGTGATTTGCATCACTCCGTTCCTGGTACTACTCCCAACCCTGATTCTAACCCGAACATAAACGAGCTTTAAATAATTTTTGCTGCGCCACAAACTTAGCACACATTCAATAATTGCGTATAATAAACAGTCACACATCATTTCTCTTTCTGCTAAAAAAACCACTTAAAAAATTCCCACGGATTTCTGGACTAAATATTCATAAAATAACTTTTGCAAGAATATTTTAAAGGTTTTTTTAAACCCGATTGTTATTTTTAGATAATAAAAATACTTTTTTTTAAATAGAAATCGGTTTTAGAAAAATAATAAAACATACGACGTTAAAAATAATGTTATTTTATAATACAACATTAAATTTTTATTGATAAAATTCTTTCAATGTAATGCTAATACATGAATTTTTAAATTCATATAAAAATAAGATTAGATTACCATACGGTGAAGGAAATCTAAGAACCACAATTCATGTACAGTCAAGTAGTGAATTCCATTGAAATAAAATATTTTCTAAATTGTTAACTTATTGAAGTTAATAATTCAGGATAATACTTGGCTCCAAATATTTCCTAAATAATTAACTTATTGAAGTTCATAATTCAGGACATGTTTGACTCCAAATATTTTCTAAATTATTAACTTATTGAAGTTAATAATTCAGAACATATTTGACTCCAAGTATTTCCTAAATTATTAACTTATTGAAGTTAATAATTCAAGAAATATTTGACTTATCGTTATCCACACATTTTGGCGTTAAGATATTTTCAAGAATCAGGTTTTTTTATCTAAATTAAAATTATCTAAACCACTGATTGATAATCTTTAATTTGACTTATTATATTTTTTCCCGCAGCGTATATAGTTTAAAATTTTTCTCATAAAGTTTATAAATATGATATTTAGACCCCATTAAATTATAAAAAATTCTATTCAGTACTCTTTCCTTAAATCATTAATAATGGCTTAGCCCAAAAGTGCTATCTCTTCTGACTGGAAGACTGCAAATGCTATAGTGCCAAATGGTGAAAAAATCGTAGTATTCGCAGATAATGTTTGGGAAGTTAATCCAGATGGCAAATATAAACAAGTGGGATCTGACTGGTCACACACTGTACAGCTACTACTAATGGCAGCTTCATTTACGCTATTCGTCCTGATGGATCCATTCACAAGCTTAAAACCTCGGATTACAGCGTTTTCAAATGGACTGAGGTTGGTACCGGATGGGAAAAAGCAGAGGCAATTTTTGCATATAATGATCGCATTTACGTAGTCCTTGACGCTATCTGGGAAATTCGTCTTGATAGTACTTATAAAAAAGTCCAAAATGAAGACTGGAGTACTAACAGTAATCGGAGATTATGCATATTCGGTCAATGATAGTGGTAGGATTTTTAAACTTGATTTGAAAGATTGGAACTACAAACTTCTCAGCAGCGGTTGGAAAAATTCGTTCCTATTACTTGCATTAGATAATAAATTATTTGTCTACGATATAATTCTTACAATACTTGATACAAATACTGGTGGGAAGACACCTGTATATGACGACAATTGGAATAAGATATTGGCCGGTGGTGCTACTTCTAGTGCAATGCATACAGTTTATGATAGTGGAAATCTTTGGAAAGTTTCGAAACCTTAATATAAGGTGACCTTCCTAAATGCATTTTCCCTCTATGTAAAATCTCAAAGTGCACGATTTAGTCTGGTCCCAAATTTATAATAGCAATATATCATTTACTTTCTATAAATGAATACCCCCTCTAAGTGCACATTTTCGAAACTTTTTATTATAGTCCAGAGTGGAAGTGCATTTAGAGGTTTACTTATGATTATATTTTATGCTTATTATTGCCAAGTTGCGCTTAAAGAGAGTTCATTTTTTAATATATAGGAATACTGGCAAAATTATTTGATCTAAAACTTTATATATTTTAACATGATCCAATTATACATCTTTTCACTTGGGTCAAAATTTTTATGTTGAAAAAAGTGAATTTAGGCTTGACAAATTACCATTATTTTATTGAAATATTTGCGCAAGTTTGAGATGTAGTAATCATAAAATAAATAAAGATTTGTGTATAAACAAACATATATTAATGAATAAGGATTTTAAAATAATACAGTAAATATGTTTTGTATTTTAATATTTGTGTAGGTATTGACTATATTATGATCCTTGGACTAGAATTAACAGATTAGCTTAAACAATAGCCTATCCCTTAAACTGATTCTAACTCTAACCCTAATTATTCTATATATGTATCGCAATATCTACTTTAAAATAATCTGGTGATGCTGCATCATCTCATGATGAGTATTACGATGGAATGGTGATTAATTTCACATTTGATCATGATCTAAGAAACATTTAAATGATGAGAGCTCCAAAACATAAAAAGAAAAAGTAACCTATAGATGTGCGAAATCGGAATTAATGGGTATTTTCATAAGATCAAAAGGTTCACAGTATACTACTGAGAATAAACTCATGACGTGTCTCCAGAAGTTCGAAATGAAAATTAAAAGTATCTGCTGCCGTCAACCATCGTCATGTTTCAGTAACTCATATGACTCCTACCAAAATCGGAATTAATGATATTTTTGTACGATATAGGAAAATATAAAAAGTTCTCGAGATATACTAGCCAATAGGTGGCACTTCACACTACCTATCTTATTTAGTAATTTAAAAGCAAGAATGGTGAATACTTCTATTCTGTCTCATTCTGATGCTATTTTTAATAGCTTTACGTTTGTTACATGACTGTTAAATCATGAGTTCGCCAATTAAATCAGGGTTGTGAGTAGATCATAGACAAGCCACTGTTGCGCACGAAACCAGAAACGGAGGTATGTTATAAGGTTTAAAAAGCGAGATTTGAAATCATGTCAAACATAGAGACACAGATGTAATGCTGTAAACATACAATAATTGTATTGGGTTATAGTATAAAGTCTTTACTAAATTAATAAGCAAATAAAATTAAATCATAAATATTTATTGTTTAATAGTTTACTCAAATACTTGAATTAATATGATTTTAAAACTATTGGTCACATAATAAATCATACCAAAAAATTTTTACATCAAATATCATTATCTGCTAATATTCACTGTTTAATTAATCATATTAATAATACTTATAATTTTACTATTGTATTACCTTCTAATTATCTATTCAATTTAACCATATTTATACAGTATACAAAAGTTTTTTGAAAAATATTTTGCCATACCAAAACTTCGAAAATTTTAAACATCTTCAAAATCATATTTATATAATTACCAATAAATAGTATGAATAATTTTCTATTTAATCTATTAAAATGATAAATATTATATTAAATTAATATGCAGATACAATGTATTATTATAATATTAAAATTAATAATAGTATAATCATCAATCTACAAAAATTAAAAAACATATTAGTGATCATTATAACAAATCAATATCTTATTATTTACTTAAAAACATTACTTTTAAATATAATTTGAGAAAGGATTTGGTGACTTAGTAAAGTGAATAAGTTGTCAACCTTTCAAGTATTAGGTTGTAAGTTAAAACCCATTGACAGTAAAAATTTGAACAATTACTTATATAAAACATAGACAGCATTACAGTGATGACATTTTGTTAATCAGTTGGAATTAGAGATGTGATCTGTAAATTACAATACATATAAATAAACTGTAGTTTATTTTAAGACTACAGATTTATAATAAACTACAGTTTATTTTAAAACTACAGTTTTACAATAAACTACAGTTTATTTATATTAACTAATAGTTTACAGATTACATCTTTAGTTGAGATAAAATACCTATAACTATAATTATGCCAGCTTGATTGGCAGATTATAAATATTTTGTATAACTAATTATATAGAAGAATGCAAACCAGTAATAGGCAGTACAAATTTAAAATAAGTTCTTATAGTTGTGTAAATTTGTAGAACTGAGAAGTTAGAGCTTATTTAGAAAAATCTAAATAGAGAGATAACATAGATTTTAACAGTACTATTATAAAGACTAGACCTTGAAAATGATACCAATATAGAAATTCAAAGGCAAAAATCTTAAGTAAGAAGTATTCTCAATCAGATTATTAAAAGTCTCAAATCAGAGAAAAAGGATATCAGATATTATAACTTTAGTATACTAAAAACAAGTTGATAATAAAAGCAAAAGTATACTATAAGTACTAGAAATATGCTATGAAGTAGATATTAGGATTTGAGCAAATTTTACAAGAGTAAACTATGTTAATAAGAACCAAATATAAGCAATTAATTAGTAAGAAAATCCTCTAAAACTTTACAGTTAGATGATATACTTTGAAATATATAATAGCTTAATAGACATACAGACAGAAAGGTCAGAGTTAGGTTAAATAGCATTTAGGTATATAGAAACTTGCATGTTATTTGTTAGATATAGTAGAAAAATCAGAGTGTTTAATTAAATAATCTTCTAGCAAATTACAGATATGGCAGCTAGTGTAAAACCTATGAATAGATAACTTAAATAGATAGCTAAAAGTTATATATATATCTAGTTGCATATTTACCTTGTACAAGTTATATAATTATAATTAAATTACAATAAAAACAGTAGCAACTGATAACTAACAGCCTTAGCAAAAACAAAAAAAAATATAATTTGAGAACTGTATACCAACCTAATTATAATATTAATACTAAATAAAATACTTTATATTTTAAAAAATTATTACAAAAAAGATTATAAATATTATATAATAAGATTTATAATTCTATAAAAATTAGTTATAAATTGATTAAATATTTAAATTCTAATATGTTATTTATATTTACTATATTTTTTAACAAATATCTTATTATATAAAATATTTTAAGAGAATGACAATACTAGTGTAGTAGTTGGGTTGTCATTTTCCAAGCAGTAGGTTTATTGTTCAAATCTTATTAGTAGCAAAATTTTGAAAAAAATAGTTCTATTTTGGCAAACTTATCTGTAATTTGAGGTTGTAGATTCTGTAATTCTGATTATATTAAGACTAACTTTGGAAGTATGCAATGTCATATGAATAAATTCAGAAAGTATATACTCAGATTAGAAGCCTACTTAGAAATTCTGAGCAAAAAGATAGTACAACTTTTAATAGTATCATCTGTATAGATCTTGATCTGAAGAAAAAACCTAAGCCAGGTGATCTATACAGACAAAAACCTCTAGGTAAGAGGTCCACCAACTTGGCTATCAGTTGATTCAGGCATGAAGTTATATTATATAAAGCTAATTGAATTAGTAGTATAGAAGGACTTGCAAAAGTAAAAGAAATATTAGTAAGATTGTAAAAAGAGAGTACTGGTGTTATATAAACTTTACAAGAGTTGTAAACTAGATTTAGCTGTAAATTGGAATACAGAAGACTTTAGTAATAATGTCTTGAGGATACACTACATGAAATAAGATATGGGGTCTTAAGGGTATGAGTATGCATCTAGAACTTTTTGACTAATATTATATAATAGAAATATTCTAGTAATATAGTAAGAATTGCAGTACAAAGAGTTTAAATAAGCAACACCTATAGTTGGATTGCAGATATAGCAGCTAGTATAGAACCTATATATAGGCAAACTACTTAAATTAGATACCAAAAGTATATGTGTAGCTAAATGTACTCTCTACTGAATAAAAAAGCCTTAGTCTCAAAAAGACTAGTTTAACTATAAAAAAATAAAAAATAAAATATTTTAAAAAAATAAAAAAATTTTAATATATATTTATTAATTAATTAAATATACAAAAAAACTATACAATAAAATTTGGCTGAACTATAGTTTAGTATATACTAATGCATGCAATTATTATAATATGATATCATCAGATTGGTAATATACTATAGAATATAGTGCTTCAATAAATGCATTCTAAAGTCTGTTTTTGTTTACCTTGTACTAAATAAATTTAAATAAGTATAATTTAATCAAATTTTTATTTCAATTTCATGAGACAATCTGTAACTTGATACTATTTTATAATCCTTTTATAGTATTTATATGTGTACCTGTTTTAGAATCTACAAAATTTTTTGAATGATTAACAGTTTTATGCTTGAATTCTAGTTTATTAATATTTGGATAACTTTTTCAATAATCTGTATAAACAATAAATCTTTTTTTAATATATTTATTTGAGATATCTTTAATTGTTTCTTTATTATGTTTTTGACCTTTTAGTAAAAAAAAACATTGTTATTGTTCTGTTTTTTCAATACCACCAATAATTCATACAATATAACAACCTACTATATAAAAAAGAAAATAAAAGAAATAATAAGCTAAACAATAAAAAATCTAAAATACAAAAAAATAATAATAAGCCAAATTGCATATATAAACAATATAAAAATAATACTAAAATTAAGTTATATACTACAACTAATAAAGATGTCAAATAGAGTATAATGACTTAGTGAAGTAAACAGGTTGTCAACTCTATATAGCAGGTCTAAAGTTCAAATTCTAGTAACAACAAAAATTTGTAATTCTTTTTATATTATAGTTAACTGCCTTTTATGATTAGTTAAAATTAGATATCTGTAATCTGTATTATGCTAACATAACTGAAAGGTCTAGATACTTGTAT